TCTTCAGGATATTTATTAATAACTCCACTATTTGTACCTCCTCCAACCCTCCTAATTTGACTGACTTTTCTTTGAATATAATGTGTGATGGCGGCACTCTTGATAATAATCAAGGAACTTAGGCTCAGATTGGAAGGAGTATAAATACAAATCTGTAAAGTATAAAATCTTATATTTTGTATGTATTTATACTGTAAATATGGGTAGCAAAGTGGAAAATGTGTGCAACCCTCTGGAAGTTAAATGTGTGTAGCTGTTTTTTAAGGAATACAAGTAGCAAGGGAGCATGGTTGGTTTTCTCTCAAGGATTTTTTTGACTGGAGAGTTTTACACTACCTGGACAAAATTAACTCCTTTATTTTGAATTCTGGTTCTATAAATATAATATATAAGCCTAGGCAAGAAAACTTTTCGGCTCACTTAGTGTCTGTTTGGCATCATTGCTGTTGTTCCAGAAAACTGCACCACATCAGTGTCATGTTGGAAAAAACGGTGCTTCAGGAAACGAGCACTTGTTTGATACCATTTTTTTATAAAAAAAGGGTATTTCAAGCAATGTCTTGGAAATCAGGAAGTTTTGACTTAGAGCAACGTCAAATTTGGTATTTCCTGGAACTGCAACTCCTTGCTTCCAACATGGATGTGAGGTGGCAGTGACATGGCACTGAATAATGGGTACCGGTGATGGAAACATTTCCTAGAGCATTAGTACCAAACAGAAAAGGTTACTGTTGCTCTAGGAAACGTCCTACTTGGCAACAATGTTTCCAAACAAAAAAGGCACCGTTTTCTCGGTACTTCCAACTCACACATCAGCAGTGCATGCCAAACATATACTTAGTGGCCCAAAGGGGTAAAAACCCAAACTTTTTTTTGCACGTGAGAAGATACTCCTAGTTGGCTGAACCCCTCTTCTGTTAGTTCTCTATAGTTTATTAGTATTTTCATCTATAAAAAAAAGATATAATTAGAAATATATTACAAAAACTGTGATAATGACAAAACGTTTTACGAACTAAATTACCCTTTCTTAAAATTTACACGTGAACCCAAATTTCAAGGGTACTGTTCATCGTCTCTTCCTTGAAAGGTCACAATAAGGGCCTTAGAGCAAGCTTCCTCTCTCTCTCTCTTTTGTCTTCTACCCTCAAACCGAAATAGAGTAGGCTGAGTAGGAAAACCAATGGTCCCCACCGCTTTTCCTCTTTCTTCTTCTTCCATCGCTGCCATCAACTTTGTTATTTCTAGAAAGAAGTAGAATGGGAGAGAGCAGTATATTTAATCAACGAAACTCTTCCAAATTTCCAACAATCCCATTTATTTGTAAAGCCAAGGTATAAGACAATCAAATCTCCTTTCTAAATGTCTTAGATTTGGAAAGTCAGATCTACCTTGATAACCTGTATCCGAGTTTTTCTTCAAACGACTTGATATGTTATTAGGGACTAGTCTTCTACGACTTAGCTGAATCTGTTGTCAAAGACTGTAGAAGAGAGCAGCAGCTTTGAGCTTTCCAAAGCTGCACAGTTAGGTCAAGCAGTTTGGGTGCCACTGTTGAATGCATCTCATCATGACAGTTAACAGATTTCTCTAGACTCAATAGTTGTTTAGCAGTACTCACAAAGAAAGAGTAAGGGAAGGGGTTTTGATTAGGAAACCTAAAGGTGTTTTTTATTAAGGGTAATTTTGTCTACAACTTTTTAAATTTGGTCATATTTTTCTAAACGTATCTGAATTTGTAAATTTATCAAACTGTCATTTATTTTGCAAAAGGCCCATATATATATGTATATATCAATACATATTTATATAATATTTATGCGATGAAGTTAAGTTAGGTTTGGTGAAGGCCTCAATCCTACTTAACCCAAGCCAAAATTAAGTCAGATTCATACTTTTTAATCCTAACCCTAATTTGAACTTCAACCCAACCCAACCCTAGTTATCAAGCTAGGTTTGGGCTAGTCCAGCCCAAGTTGCAACCCTAAGGATGGGGCTAGGGATACAACAAATCAGGTTTGATGCAGGTTGATTTCAACTCGACCCAATGCAACTTAATCTTACTCTCCTCAATCCACCCCATGAAAATTCAAAGTGGTGTATAGTTCATCTGAACTAATTTATAATGCCAACCAATACCTGCATTGGTATTTTGTCCAAACTGAGTTGGGATCTCCTTCATCTAAAAGCCATTTCAACATGTTTTAGTCAAAGTTCAAACATGAAGTATTAGTATCGAGTATTGTATTTTCGCAAGCCTGGATATGAATACATATTATGATATGCTTTGGACATGTATGGATACAATGAAAAGATATTTGATACATGTGGATACATTGGGAAAACATTAGAAATCTCACAAATACATCAATAACAATAAGAGAAATTTTCGATTAATACCCTGTACTTTGGGTCTAGTGCCACTTTGGTCCCTGAACTTTAAAATGTGACAATTCAGTATCTGAACTTTCAAAGCGTGACAATCCTGTTAATTGACTATTAATCAGCTGTTAAGTAACATTTGAAAAGGACACAAATGCCTTTCAAGTGTCACTTAATTAATTTTCTTTATCAACCATCTAAACATTGACAAAAAATTAAAAGTCCCAAATCCTTGCTTCTTCTATTCAAGAAAGTTGGGATTACGTTTGAATGGGCATTCTGGTGACCCCAACTTTATTGAATAGAAGCAAGGATTTGAGACTATTAATTTTTTTAGTTGATAAAAAAAATTAGATAACACTTGAAGGGCATTTGTGTTTTTTTAAAATGTTACTTAACGGGTAATTAATAGCTAATTAACGAAATGTATTAAATTGTCACGCTTTAAAAGTTTGGATAGCAATAGACCCAAATTACATAGTACTAATCGGAAAATTTTCCCAACAATAAATCTAAGGTTGAAATGACCATGACTATGGTATCAATACATAAGAAATGCAAACTTTGATAGCTTGTATGAAGATACATTACACTCAACAATACCAAAAATCTACAAAGTATACATATAAAACAATAACTTTACTAACAGTACAACAAACAATGTTTGAACTTCCAACTAATTCACTACAAGACATATGATGAATTATTGTTGGACCAATGAAGATAGATCATTGAGAAATCCATTTAATTTTATACTCATTTTCTATAACGAAAACCATTTAAAACATATAAAAAGTTATTTATGATTTTTCTATAATTTTTTATAGGTTGTTGGGGATAGCCTATAAAACTATCAAAAAGTTTAAAAGAAATAGCATCCTTATGGATCTCAGGCCGCCATTAGACATGTACATAGGCCGTAGGGGTGGCAAATGGGCGGATTCGGTTAGGTGTGGGTTGACTATCAATTCACTCATATTGACCCTTCAACCCATTTGCCACCCATATTTATTGATGTTGGTGGGTCACAACCCACCCTGACCCATCCTGATCCAAACTGATACTTTTTTTTTTTTAATTTTTCTCTATTACACATGCATTAAAAATAGAAATATCAATTAAGAAAACATACAAATGATAAAAAAGTGCATAAAATATTTTACAAATAAAAATAAAAATGCACAAAACACTGGATATTAAGATTGCCATCCCTAATAGACTAGGCTTTTGTCAAAATTTGAATGGGACCCGAAGCTTGGGCCTGAACAATATCCAAAACACCACCTATCAACAGGTATAGTTTACATAGGTTCAACACGTGCTCGCAAGGTTCAAGAACTTGCCCGATCGAGGTCAAGTGTCAGCACTTTTAGTTTCATCCCAACGCCCAAGCCTAATTAAAAGCAAAAGGTCGGCCTTGGCCTTACAGCCCTTACTCAGAAAATTAAAAAAAAAAAAAAAGAAACTTTAGTTTCATCCCCTGAAGAGTTCAATCCTTCGTCTCAGATTGCAGAAACTCCTCTTACTCTTCATTAACTACGAGATCCTACAGGGGAGCAAAAGTTTGGCCTCACTCATAGAATTCTATAGTCTAGACTTTATATTTGTGCAGAATTCAACTCCACTTTGAGTTTGAGGCCTTTGATTTGCATTCCACAACACACAAGATCTTTTCGTAGATGCATATATAAACACCTACAAACGTGTTCATTCGACTTCCTTTTCTTTCATATGCATTGATAAAAGAATTATAACAGTACAAACACTGGTTGCTGGGTTTTCGCCTGCTTAATTATTGTTGCTTCATATATAAATAAGTATTTAATTCTGATTTTTTTTTTCCAGGTGTCTTATAATACAAAGATACCATATACGAGGCATTAACTAAAAATTAACATAATTTATATATGCTGCATCTCATTATTGGGCCAAACCCAAAATTCACTTGAATTGGCTGACCTTTGTTTAGAGAAAAATTATATATGTTGATCCAATGGTTAAGCCCAAAATATACATGAGAAATGATTCACTAATTGGATCATCCTCTACGGCATATGTATATATTGTTAGAGGCTAGGTAGATTAATTGTAGAGTCAGTCTCCTACAATTTCCTGTGATTGTGACGAACAAAATTAAACATTGATAATTGATTCGACTTTAATTTGTGAACAAGATACAGACTTGCAGACTTGATGACTTGAGAGAGGAACCTGATTTTAAAACCGGCCGTTTGGACTTTGGGTAGTGGATACATTGATAGGAGCCCATGCATACATGCCATCATTCATTAAAGAGTAAAGAGTAATATATACAGCTAGGCTGTCCCACTTAAGACAAAACCTAGCTAGCATCCAACCATTACAATTTACAGTTTCACACATTACCTCAATCTCTCTACTCCGAGATTTTCTTTACCTAATTAAATACATAAATGACAATGTAGATTGTAGCGCTCTCAAAATCAAAAACTACCAATTCCATCGTCAATCTCCTCCCTCCCTTGCCCCTATCTACTACTCCCCAACAAAATCTTCTAAACTTAATACATCGTATCTCTTCACCTCTATATAAATAATATATACCCAACACCACACTTGTCCCCAATTCCCATCAATCCATGGCGAGGAAGAAAGTGAAGCTTGCTCTGATCGCTAATGAGACGGCTAGGAAGGCCACCTTCAAGAAAAGGAAGAAGGGTTTGATGAAGAAGGTAAGTGAGCTTAGCACCCTGTGCGGGGTGAGTGCTTGTGCCATCATTTACAGTCCCTACGACAGCCAGCCAGATGTCTGGCCGTCCCCGCCGGAGGCCCAACGCGTGATCGCAAGGTTCAAGAGCTTGCCGGAGATGGAACAAAGCAAGAAGATGATGAACCAGGAGGCATTCCTGAGGCAAAGGATATCCAAAGTGAAGGAGCAGCTCAAGAGGCAGGAGAAGGAGAACCGAGATTTGGAGATCACCCAACTTATGAATCAGGCCTTGACAGGGAATAAGAGCTTGCACGACGTGGGTGTTGAGGATTTGGGTGATTTGGCGTGGATGGTGGAGGAGAAGATGAAGGCAATACAAGAGAGGATCGAACTCCTTACGAGGACACCTCCCCCACCATTTCTTCCGGTAGACGAGAAGAGGATGATGATGAGGTATGGGAATGGGGAAGGAGGTAGTGAGGCGGAAAGGACAACCTTAGAGGTGGCCATGGAGGCCTTGCAGAGGCAATCCTGGTTCATGGACGTCATGAACCCACACGAACACGTCCATGTGGGTTGCGCTGGGGATGACATGGTGATGCCTGCTACTTATGGGGAACCTGCTAGTTCCTGGTCTAATCCTTTCTTTCCCTAATCAGCAATCAATTAATTTATTGAGTTCTCTCATGCTTGCTGCTCTCTGTAAAACTTTTACTGTGTTGGTATTCCATATTTTCCGAGGCCAAGGGTCATCCTTTTGAACCCTTACTAGTACTATATAGACACTATGTATCTAGGTTAATTAGGTACTTAGAATCGCTGTTTGTGGTGTGTTTCTCCATTTTTAAGTATATGAGATGATGTAAATGAATAACTCTCATCAACTAGTTTAATTTGCTTCCTTTTCCTTGCTGTATATGCATCTTAATCTTTGCAACCAGTTAATTTATCGATCCACCCAGATGCATGGATCCATCCTTTCTTCCGTCTAAACTCTGCAGCCACCGCCAAAGCCAAAGGCCCCACTCTTGAATCAAGAGTCAAGATTAATTGTGAATCCAATTAACGCATGAAGGAGCGCCACCCTCCATGGAGCTGAGGATTTAATTATAATTAGCTAGGGTTTCTGTGTCGCTTTATATGCCCTATCCTATTTGGTTCCGATTTCACCGAAGTTTATTCCATTATCCCAAGGCCCATGGGTGGGTCCTTGCTTCTCCAGCAGATAGGGGTGTCAATTGGACTGGACTTGGTCCAATCCGATCCAGTCTAATGTGAGTCCATTATAAATGGATCAGGTCCAATCTAATCCAATGAATATTTTGGACTAATTTGGACCGGTCTAATTCAATGTCTGGATTATATAATCTCTCCAAATTCATTTTTGATGTAGATTGGTTTCAATTTAAACCTGGTCCACTAACACATGTATTCTTATCCTATGTCAATGGACTAAATATTGGCTTAATTCAACCCAATCCAATATAAATTTGTTACGGATGGATTAGGTCCAATCCATTCTAATAAATATTTTAGACCAAATTAGTCCAATCCAATATATCTTATTGGTCCGTTTAATCCGTCTAAGTTGATTTTAGACTGAACACGTTCCAATCCAAAATCGGTCCATTGACACCCTTACCAGCAAGTATATTATTGCGCATATGCAATTGACTCTTTTCCTTCAATCTCAATCCTATTTTGTATATAAAAACAAACTCCTTTCTCTTTCTGCGATTACGATTAGCTTAGCATTCTAAAACTAAAACGACATCAAATTAAAGAAAAAAAAAATCTACAAAATTACTGGTCTGCCCGGCCATTATGATTTTATGAATTGTCTTCCGTAATTTTAATTAACAATATGACTAACGATATAATTGATTGGTTGCTGCATTCATTTAAAACGTGAGGAGGATGGATCAAATTAGCTGATCACCAAGAACCAGCTGGTCAATCTCACTACATTCCTTCAAGGAAATTTGCTCCGATGGTTCATTAAGAACAATGAGGTACGTAAGTGGTTATAAACTCTCTGGGTAATATTAATGCTATTAGGGAAAGAGGACTCCTAATCCATTTATTTGGAATTAAATCGGTTTTCCTTGTTACAAAGTTGGAAATCCAAACTCATTTATTTAATTATATATGTCAGGAGTAATTAAATACCATATATCATATATAATTAATACTACTTTGCACATATGCATACTTTACATTAGTCCATTAGGTCGGACGCTCTTCATTGGCTCTCTTGTCCAGCATTCCACTAATTAATCCATACGGAATATGGGATTTGGAAATTGCAAATCAATATATGATGACAAGGACCAAGAGTCTTAACTCAATAATCACAAAGACATGGATTAAAGGACACATGTAAAACCTGAATGTTCATATATCCAACCAATGCTTAACACTTTAATTTGGATTAACTGACATGGTGGCTATATACCATGGAATCAATGATAACACCCCACACCATAAAATATGAGAGGTTGTAGGCCCGTTGAACAACTATTGCATTCATCAATTTCATCTAATAAAAATTAAATCAGAGTATTTTAATAATCTTATATAATATAATATGAATACTTGTAAAAGGGTGGTTATATTTTAATCTTTAAATCTAATCACCAATGAATTGCAACACTTAAATAACTGCAGTAAAATATTTTTCACCTTTTTACCCTTTTATTTATCTTTTAATATAAGAAAAAAAAAGACCTTGTTTACATTGATAATTTTTTTGTTACTTGTCCTTATTCCATGGTGGAAATATATATAACACATTGCCACTTATATCTGGAACAACTGGTGGGTACAATTTCTCTTCAAGCATATACTTTTATTTATGGTGAGAAATGGTCTTTTCAAAAGGAATTATTCTTGCTTTTCATTTGAACACCAAACAAGCTATTTCTGAAAGAGATTCATTAAACTTGGTTTAAGCCCAGTTGGAGAATTCTTCTACTCCAACAGGCAACAGGGACCTTTAAAACTGATGATTCCTTTTCCATGTCGCATGTGGTGGTAGAATCTCGTCCTCATTTTCCACTTTGAACACAGTTTGGTTCCTCAAGCCCCATCGACTTTGGTAGCTGTAGCACTAGTTGCGTGTTAATTGAGGCCGAATGCTAGCATTTTCTGTTATAGCTTCTCTCTCTCTCTCATGAAGGTTTTGAGAAGGCTTCAAAATTGCCAAAATCATCCATGAAGTTAAGAGGACAATGAGGAAGTAGAAGAAGAGGGAGAAGAAATTGAAGACTTTTGATACAAGACAGGTCGATCATCCCGCCTATTATTGGCTTCCTCCCATCCTCTAACAAGGCCACGAGTACTCTCTTCTGCTTTCTCATATCCAATGCCTCTATTACCACAAGGACCTCAACAGAATCCTCATTGTTGCAATGAAATTGTCACCTCAACCTCGTGTACGAGAATTGAAGGGTGGTTTTCAAATGATAACAACCAAAGGAAGTAGTTTGCAGGGGGGTCCCTTGCCTTAGAGAAAACTCGTAGGCCATTGAGAACATTCTCAAAGCATGACATGTTGACTCATTCATGCCCTTGTTTGTTTTTTCTGGTCTAGAGATGCAAACGGATTGGATCGGATTCAAATCAGGGTATATTCGAATATGATCCAACGTTGTTCATGTCGGATCCGATCTGGTCTGAAGATTTGATCGGATCTGATAGGACTCGATTTGAATTCGAATTCTATCAGATCTTTGAATCTGATTTGATCTGACTTGTTTTCTTTATAATTTGATAAATTATTAAAAAAATAAAATATATCAATTTAAATAAAGAAAAAACAAAAATACAAGTATTTTTTAATTATTTTCATCATATATACATGTTTCTTATGCAAAATAAATAATATAACAAATTTATAAAAATACAATATAAATAATATATTTATAAATCAGTAAATAATATATATATATATATAACACATCGGATTGAATAGAGGTGATCCAAATCCAATCCAAAGATCCGACCAAGGGTGATCCGAATTTGACCAAATAGGACTGGATCGGATCATATTTGCACCCCTATTCTAATCAAAATAACATGAGAGCAATTACTCCTTTGTCCCGCACCATGGTAAAGTGTCATGCCTGAGAATGTTCTCACCGCAAACAGCCAAGGTTTTTCCCTTCGTGGAGAGAAAACAGCTGAGGGTCTATTCTTTCATCATTTTTCTCAAGTCCCTAGTCCCTACACCTAAATGGGGGATCAGGATGGATAAAAACAAAGGCATTCCCATTCATGATTGCTTCCCTTCCCTATATTCACGGGTACTGATTCTCTTTCTTGCCCCATACTTCCTCTTAGATTATGTTTGGTTTAAGGAAAAAGAATGGAAAGGAAGGGAAAGATGGGAAAACTTATACAAGCTTTGTAAAGGTTTTCTACATTTTCCTTCAAACCAAAAGAAATTGGTATCAACACTGATTAGAGAAAGTGGTATGTAACCACATTGCTTTTCAAGATAAGTTGAGCTGTTTTAGCTTTTATTTGATCCATCTTCTCGGAGAGCCATCAATCCTTATTTATCAATTCCAATGGGTGATCACAGGTTTTCCTACATTTTCCTTCAAACCAAAAGAAATTGGTATCAACACTGATTAGAGAAAGCGGTATGTAACCGCATTGCTTTTCAAGATAAGTTGAGCTGTTTTAGCTTTTATTTGATCCATCTTCTCGGAGAGCCATCAATCCTTATTTATCAATTCCAATGGGTGATCACTCCAATTTCAGTTATGAAGTGAGCCATCAATATCCATAAAAGGATTTTACTTCACGGCGTATTGGATGTGGATCTCCAGTGTTCGAACCTGGCAAAAAGTTGATCCAATCTGCAAATCCGGCCCAACCCAATGAACAGTTTATTTAACAATTAAATCATTGGTTTGGGCATCCGTTTACCCAATATCTTCTTTGGCCCACAAAATTTGCACCCCAATACCCTCTTTGGCCCACAAAATTTGGATGCATTATTTGTTTCAAATTGATCAGGTCAAGAATGTCAAAAAGTTGGGTTTGGCGTATGCTAGTATGAACCCTAGCCCACCAAGCTTAACCTGACTTAACCAAGTGCAAAATAATAGAGCACACTCAATCTGATAGGAACGCGTATTAATTTGTTTAAAGTGGAAACAGTCAGGTTGCTATGGGTGCCAAGAATGAAACTTTGAATCGATGAATTGACTAGAATCCTCCTGGTTCCATCCTTTAATCTCTGCTTATAAACCCGCTTTCAATGGCGAGATTGTGTAACATTTTGAACTGTTTACTCTTTTTTTTTTATTTTACAAAATGTACATCAAGGACACATCTATAGTCATGGGTGTGTGTCAAAGAACAAAATCCTATTTACCTATTTATGATTTCACATAACATCTTTAAGTTTTAAAGTTAAACAATTCCTTCAAATGGTATTAAAATCTGAGTTTGTTTGATCAAGTGGTCTAGTTTTTTTATCCTTATTACTTCCATTATAATTAATTAAGTTTTAGCACAAGTTATCAATAGGTTTATGTTTATTTATTCTTCAAACCCCAAAAGCTTTCATGTGAGGGGTATATTAAAATAAAAACCTATTCAAGGACTTTACCCCAAACTTAAGCTTTTAGGTTAAACAATTCA